TCTCTGCCCAGCTCTGGATGCTCCTTCATGCTCACCTGTGCCCTGTCAGAGGCAAAGCGAGGCTCAAATGGGAATTCCCAGGAGCCACAGCATCCCCACACAGGATCCAGGATCAGAATTCCTCATTTTGGAATGAAATTTTGAACAACAAATCCCTCAGCATGGATCCCTGAGCTGCTGCTCTGGTGGTGCCTCAGGTTTTGGTTTTTATATTTTTCAGATTCTGAGCTGCTTTAGTGGGGACTTCTGAGCTTGTGTGAGATGAATTGTGTGAAATGAAGATGAGTGTGAGAAGAGGCTCGGATATTTAAACGTGTGATGAGAGGAGATGGATGGTTGGGATCAGGGGCCAGCTCTGAGCTGGGGCAGGAAGGGGCTGTGCTGGTCAGAACTTCTGATCCATCAGCTGAATCTGCCTTCAGGGAGGGGTGCTGTGGCTTTGTCAAGTCTACCACTCAAATCAGGAAGCTTTCCTTTGGAAAAGCAGCTCCATGGGAGGGGATGGATGTCACACACCATGGGATGCTCTGGGAGTGTTCCTGCAGGAGTTGGAGCAGAGAACAGCATTTCCACTGCTTCCAAGGGCAAGAGTTGGCAGCTTGGGATATCTTGGGAAGCTCCTCTGCATATATACACAGATTTTATAATATACACCTTTTAAAAGTTACAAATACATTTTTAAAAATCCAAACAGATATGAAATTTCTCGTCACCATGTCAGAATTGCTCATTAAAAAAAAAAAAAAAAAAAAAAAAAAAAAAAGAGCATTAATCTTTATAAGGGGGCCAGTGGGTCAGCACTGGCCTCTGTGAGAAGGTGACTTTGCTGTGTGGGTGCCAACTCCAGGTTATTTGTCTTTGCAGGAATTACAGAGCTGGCCCAGATTGTGTTAGCAGCCCACTGCAATCTCCTTGAAACCCCCACAAAAATGGGATTTGGCCCAAGGAGAAAAATCTGGGCTTTGGAGCAGAAGAGAGGAGCATCTTTGTTCTCCTTTTGTCTTTAATTTCTTTTCTCATCTCTTTGAGCAGAGCCCTTCCCTCCCTGGAAGGTGCTGTCACTGCACTCACTTCTCCAATTCCAAATCCCAGCACTGGGATAAACTCAGTGGAGTTTTGCAAAGGGCTGGAGGTGGTGTCAGGGCCATCTGCTCTCCAGGCCACTAGAAGAATTTGCAGGGTAAAGCTTTGCCATGTGTTCCCTGCAGATTACACACACCTTTGGCTGTGCTCTTGTTGTTAGCTGCTCATTATTGGGGGGTTTGAAAAGCTTTCCTTATAAATGCCCTGGGTCCCAACCACACGTGTTGTATCAGTGGTTTTATAATGACCCATTTGGAATTATTTAGGCAGGAAACCTTGGAGTTTTTTCCTTTCAATGTGTCCTTGTAAGATGCCCAACTTCTACAGTTAGTCTATGAATGTACCCACACTATTAGATCCACTTGTTTATAATAGCAACCAAATGTCTTCAAATATTCAAGCCTCCTTTTATTTTTTACAGCACTGGCAATAAGCCTTTACATGTTAACTCTTGGCCTCTCTGGGTAACCTCTTATTTAAAAGCAACTTAATTGACTTTACCAGGCCTGGGCTATTTTTCATTTCTTCCTAGAGGACTCATTACTGGAGATGGATGTTTATAAACTGGATCTGGATCCTTCTCTCTCTCTCCCTTTCTCTCTCACACACACACAAAACCAACCTATTTTACCCCTTCCTGCCTGTTTACATTAGCAGGCCATAATCATATTCATGGCTTCACATAGTTTGGCCAAGATTTTTGTAGTGGTGACCCAGTGGAAAGTGAAAAAATCAAATAGGTGAACAGCAAGTGCTGAAAGAAAAGAGGAAAGGCTGAAATTCTGAGGATTTTAGGGATTGGTGTTTAAATGAAACGGGCAGGAGTAGAACAGAGGTTTGAGTCTTTGGAGCAGGTAGGATTGTGATGTCAAACAGGTGTAAAGCAGTGGTAAACTGAGCCCAGCGTTGGGGTTTAGTTCCTTCTTTCCCTTTGGAAGTAGTGGTGTCAGAATTATTTAGGAAAAAGGGTGACAGTTCAGGTCAAGCTACAATCCTTGGCATAACAGATCCTCCAAAATTCTGCCCAATAACCTGAAAAAGCTTAAGGAGTGAGAATTTCATCTCATGTAAGAAGGTCACACACACCAGTCCACAGCCTTGGAGTATTTCATGCATCAAACCCTCAGCCCAGCCTGTGCTGTAAGAATTTTCCTGGTGCCATTGGATCCACTCTGATTTCCATCAGTGGAACATCTGGTGCTTTGTGGTCGTGTCCCTGGCTCAGTTTAAATCCACAGACCTGTTCTGGCAGAGGGGCTCCCAAAGCCTCTGTGTTTGTTCAGGGTCTGAGTTGCTCTGTGTAACCACTGGGAAGGCCACACTGCTCTTGTGTGCCTCCTGAAATTCCTATGGGACATCAGGGAGGTAGAAACACCCATTCTCCATCCTCTTTTTGCCCTATTTCCACTTTACACCTGATCAGTTAGGGGATTTTTTTCATCATTTTAAGTCTCTGGTCAGCAGAGACCTGCAACACCTCCCACCGTTCTCAGGCCAGCAGAATTCCTGGGGAGGATTTTCCTGCTTGTTGTTTCATTTCCCCACATTTTGCTGTGTCTTGTCCTCTTTCCTGGGCCAGGTCCTTGTTCACCCAGCAGGTCCCCACCAGCTGCCACTGCTCTGGAGAATGACCCAAGGGATTCAGCTGTGGGATCCCAGATTTCTGGTGAGGTGCTTTTCCTCCTCCTGCAGCCCCTCACAGACCCCTCATGGTTGATGGGATTTTTTCAGAGCTCCACAAGATGCCCCTGGAAGAGCTGAGAGAGAAATGTGGGCAGCCAAGCTCCAAGATTGTCAGGTTTATCTTATTTGCCAAGATCTGATGTCTCCTTCCCCACTGTCCCAAACTCAAACTGGTCCAGATCGCGTTGATGACACTGCCAGCAGCACAGGGAACCCCAAAACGTGTGGGGGCTTCCCTGCCTTGCTGTTGAACCCTGCCCTCATAATTAAGGGTCTCTCCTGCCCTTTCCAGCACCAGCAGCTCTTTGTGTTGTGTTCCAGTGTTGCTCTGGGGTGTTTTTGGCAGGAGGGTGCAGCCCCCACGTCCCACTCTGTGTGTGAGCAGGGCTCCTGCTGTGGTCCCTGCCCTCCTGCCACCCCTCCCCGCAAACTTCAGCCTCACCTTCTGCCCCATCTCTCTCTGGGACTAATAATTCATTTTTACTGGGTTGTGGATAAAACCACAATTAAAGAATCTGAATTTTGAATGATCCTCCAGCCACCTTTCCCTGAATTTCATCATCACAAATAATTTTGGGCTCTTTCTCTGTCGTTTCTTCCTGCTTTTCTCTGTCATTTTCCCTTCCATTTTCAATCTTCTATTGCCTTTCATGAGCTCCCTTAACTGGGTAGCATCTGCCAATTTTATTAATGGGCTGTGTAATCCATTTACTGGGTCATTAATGAAAATATTAAATAAGGCCAGACCTAACAAAAGATCCTTGGAGTACTCTGCAAGATACCTCCCACAAGTGTAACACTTGGCTTGGTGCCTTTCTGGCAGGTCTGAATCCACAAAGCAACGTTCTTATTATTGTTATTATTATTGTTATTATTACTGGCACGAGGTGACAACCAGAAATCCCAGCCAAAGGCCGGGTTTCTGTGGCCATAGGCATGGTGCACACATGCTCTGGTTATTTATTAGAAAACAGCAGAGTCCCTCTGTGAGGGGGGGTCTGGTTTGGTGCAAGAGCCGCACAAAGAAGAAGCAGTCCCAGGGTGGTTTCAGCGTGAAAAAAGTGACCTAAATGAAGGATGGGAAGGGTGACAAGGGGATCAAGGGCACTGCCAAAGGTTTGCCCTCTGACAGTGCCCCTCAGGCAGAAATCACTTGTCTCCATCTGCCTGATTTTACCTTTTCAAAGTGTGTCAGTGCTGGATGCTTCGTTACAGTCCCAAAATTACCCTTTTTGTAAAGCACTAAAGCCCAGAATTCTTAACGGGCGTGGAAAAAAAGAAAACGCAGAAACCATTCTGTGTCTTCTGCTGCTGCGTGCTGCACAAGCTGGGTGCCTGCTAGGAGACACGAGCAGAGGGGATCTGGGTGATTTTTAGGAATCCCAGGTAGATCCCAATGAAGGGGACGTGAGGGGAGCTCCGAGCTCAGCAGGTGGTGGCACAAAGCCACGGCAACCTGGACAGAGAGCAGAGGGGGAATGGAGTAAAATGCCCAGTGAAAGAGATTCTGGTGGATTTTCTGCTGGAAAATGTGAATTTTCAGAGCTGCTTTTACCCATCTCCCAGTCAAAATCCCCCTGTTCAGGCTTTTAAGAGCTTGAGTTAACGAAGATCAATGCCTGGGTATGTAAATTGTGTGTACCAGATGTTTAAAGAAGTATTTGTGTGCACACACCCCGATGTTTACTGACAATTCTTTTCATATCAGCACATTTATCAAACCTCCTGGATGCTGCAGGTTTAAGGCCTTAAAGTTGCATTTTGGGAAACCTATCCCAGTGGATGTGGATAAAATATTTTTATACATTCTCCTTTCCAGGTGTGTTTCCCACAACGTCTGCATGTACACCAGGAGCCCTCCCTGGTTCTATGGGGCAAACAAAGTCTTTTTTGTACCTTTGCAGCTCAATTTGAGCAGCTTGCAGGACTTCCCAGCTCTCTTTGCACACCCTGAAGTCCAGGCAAAAAAACAAACAGGAAGGGTTAGGGGTTGGGTTGGGGGGGAGAAGGAGAGGTTTCTATGGAAAAGAAGAAATTTCTGACCACGTTCCTTTTATTGGCCTGGAGGAACCCTCGAGATTAACAACCAGCAACCCCCCCTTCCCTGCCAGCCACCCCCCTGCAACCCCGAGACCTTAAACAATCCGGTAGAAGGTGTGACTTCAAACTTGGTGGTAGGGATAAAGAGAAAGGAAGCCGGAATGTAAGCACTTGTGTGATGTGATTATTCCCAGAAATGCCTCGACATCTCCCCGCCGGCCCAGCCCGGCCGCCAGCGGGGCCGGGCAGCTCGCAGTGAGGTGCTGACCGCGACTGCCGCGACGCTGTGATACCTTATCGGGGCAGGCAGCGTCCCCTCGTAGTGTGCGACAAGCGGAAACAGGGCCGGGAGCCAGCCGGGCCCTCTGCCAGGGCTGCCCGGCATCCATGAGAGCCCTGCAGAGCCCCCCGCCAAGGTAAAGGGGCTCCTGCACCCCCGGCTGGGCTGGGCTGGCTGGGATGGCTGGGATGAGCACCTCCAGCTGGGCTGGAATGGGCTGGGATGGCTGGGATGGGCACCCCCGGCTGGGCTGGGATGGGCTGCGCTGGGCTGGGATGGGCACCCCCGGCTGGGCTGGCACCCGGGAATGGCACCCCGGGATGGCACCCGGGGATGGGATCTGGGGCGGGGGATGGAGCTGGGGCTGGGGATGGCACCTGGGGCCACACCCGGGGCGCCCGAGCGGGGATGATGATGGGATAGGGATGGGGATGAGGATGGGGATGGGATGGGGAATGCGGGTCCCCGAGGCCGTGGGCACGGCCTGACGTGCGTGGGGCGGATCCCGCAGCTGGGGGTGCTGATCCCCACCCCCCCCCCCGCCCCCGTGGGTGCAGGGAAATTGGGGGCACGGGCTGGGAGTGTTTGATGGCTGCTTCTGGACTTGCTGGCCGTCCCCACCAAAGGAGAGGGGGCAGATTTTGGGGTTAGTTTGGGTGTGAAGTTTTGGGTGCGAATGTGCCTAAAGATGCTCTGGTAGAGCTCACCATGACGCTTCTTCAGTGCTTGATTCTGAATTTATTCACCTGAATTGATACCCGCTTTGCCAGCTCTGATCCCATATGGCAGCAGAGAAAAAAAATATGCCTATTCTCTCTCTCTCTCTTTTTTTTTTTTTTTTTTTTTTTCTCATTATTTAAATAATTTCATTTACAGGGAAGGTGGAAGCGAGAGAGGGCTAATGTAGAACAGGTGTTTTGATTTCACGTTCCTCTTTGAAAAGCAAATCTTGCCGTTTGGAGCCCCTATTCACCCTTGGTTGGTGAAGAAATTAATAATAGGGGTTGTTTAGGAATTCATCAAAGAAAACCCCATCCCCTTTCTCCACCTCCCCTTCCCTGAGCCGTCAGTGGCATCCAGCACCCCCTGGTTGGAGACAGCACAAAGCTTTGGCGTTTGATTTTTTTTTTCAATTATTATTTATTCATTATTTTTTGGTTGGTTTTATTTTCCAATGCGCTGTTTGGCGCTGTGACTTAGGAACTTGGCACGGAATAAGAGGGGCTGGCTCTTCCCCGCCGAGGGGATGGGGCGAGCAGGGAGAGCCAGCCCGGACACGGAGGGGCGGCGGCTTTCCCGCACAATTCCCGTTCCATTCCCATGCCATCCCCGCACCATTCCCTCACTATTCCCTCACCATTCCTGCAGCATTCCCGCTCCATTCCCTCTGGGAGCCGGGATGGGAACACACGTGGTTTTGGAGAGCTGCCCCCGAACATCCCCCCGGCACTTCCAGGGATCTGCCCCGCATCTCCACTACTGCTCGTGCCCAAAAAGTTGCTCAGTATAACTTTATTTATATATAAATATATATAAAATATATAACTATATAACTATATATAAATATGTAACTATATAACTATATATATAACTATATAAATATAACTACATACCTATATATAAATAGTTATATAATTATATATGTAACTGTAACTATAACTATAAGTATATATAAATATTTCTTTGCTATTTCTGCTTCTCTCCTACCCCGTGAATAATAAAAACCACAGAACCGCGGCCCGGGGGCTCCGTGTGTCCATCGGGTGACACAAAATATGTCTGGATCTTGTGAAGGTGCCAGGGGCAGGGGCTCCACTCATCCCCAGCTCCCAGAAAGAACTCGGGGACACGGGGATGAACGAAATATTTGAGTTAGTTTGGGACTGTTGTTTTATTTCTTTTCCATTTTGGTTATTATCGTCCATCAGAATAAAATGTGTTTTGATGATTTTCCCGTTGCCCGAGAGCTTCAAGGTTCTTCCCCACTCATCTCCCGGGGTTCACAAAAATGAAAAGCAGTGGTAGGAATGAGGTAAATCGTTACACCGGGGGGTGTAAATGTTTGCACTGGGGTGATTTGGAGTAAGACGGGGACTGGAGAATTAACATCGAGTTTGTCAAGCGAAGGTAACAAGTGCCACGCCGTTTTGGAGGGGGCTGGTTTTAGGACGGGGTTTTAAATAAGCCTAAAACCTGAGTAATTCCTGGCTTATACTCGCCAGTGTGAGGATAAAATTAATTCAGGATCCTAAATTATATTTGCGCCTGAACTCAGCTAAATTAACCAAATATTTGGCAGTTCAAGAGCCCCGCTTTGCTCTCGATTTCAGAGTTTGGGCTGCTGCTGTGGGAAAGCCGTGGGTAAATACATCTCCGAGATTTGATTTCTGCAGCCTGATCCCGCTATAGGTGCTTGTGCCCAAGCAAATTCCTGCCTGCCGCTGCTGCCTGCTCGGAAAAAATAGATTTTCCTGGAGCTCAGGCAATTCTCTCCATCCTTCTCTTTGCGAGGCTGCTCCGTGCTGCAGAAACCCCGGCTAATTTCCCCAGATAACCTTAATATTCGCCAGGAAGCCGAAGGAATGAGCTGGCCCGTTCCCCCTTTGGCTTTAAAGGTTGTTTCAAAGCTTTGATTCGAGCTCGGGGTGGTTGGAGGGCGCTGCCCGCACCCCCTTCTGAAAAGGCAAGGGGAAATCAGAAATGAAACATCTCCGAGATGGAGAAAGAGCTGTGGAAGCTCTCCAGACACTCAATGCCGCCCGGGAGCTCTCCCTGGCCAAAAACACCGCGGGGTTGGTCCCAGCAAGTGCATGGCGAGAGAGATTCCTGATTTAAATTAGGTAGAGAGGAAAAGAGAAATGTTTTCTGTGTGGAAAACAGGGAATTGCTTCTTTTTCCATAGGGGAGGTAAAGAAAAGGTTGTGATTTTGGTGGGGTTTTTTTTCTCTTGTAATTTCTCTCACGGGCGGCTCTCATTTGGCAGCGATCGCTGGTTTTTAATCCCGAGCCTAACGGGAGCCGGGTTTTACCCGAGGCCAGGCAGCTCCTTCCCCTCGCAACACGCGACTTCCAAGATCAGGGATGCCTCGCTCATATTCCCTACAAACCGCCTTAATCCCCCTCAAAAAAACCCCGAAATTTTCAGTGATTCTCTCTAATGCCCCCAAAAAATATCTCACTAAAACCAACCCAGCCCCACCGTTAACCCCGGATTTACGGGGAGTCACTTCGGACGCAGTTTGGGGGAATTTTTTCTTTTTTTCCCCCAGTCTTTTCAGAGTGAATCTTTTTCTCTCCTGTTAGAACGCTCCTGAATTTCTCCCCCCTCCCGCTTTTGGCTGGGGGTACGGTGTAATTGAAATCCTCCTTTCAGCCCGAACAATAGGGGCCATAAACCCAGACTAAGAAAGTTGTCGGCAGGGACGGAGGAACCGCAAACACATTTTTTCCCCCCAACCATACAATGTGGAAACTCTTAAAGGGCGCTATCTGTAGACATCTTGCAATCACTGGTCTTCCTTGTCATCTGAAGGAGAAAGGGGAAAATATATTAAGTGAAGACACACTTTAAAATTACTTATACATTTTAAACATGCTGGCAAAGGGAACTGCCTGATAAACTCTTGCCCAGATTTCCTTTTTCTCGGGTAAATTATTTCAAGTTGTTATACAAATATCTCCCGCCCCTCTCCTTTCCCGGATTTAATTCGAACGAAAACAAATTCCTGCGGCCCCAAAACCAGCTTGGACGTGGGGGAACTGCAGGGCCGGTCCTGCAGCCCCTCGTGGGTGCGAACACCCACCTCAGCTGGCCTTAGAAAAAGAGAAAAAACCCACATTAATAACTTAAATCGCTCAAAACGCTTCATAACAAGCCGGCAGAGCGCCCGGTGCTGCAGCTGAGCTGGGCTTGCTTTGCCCTGAGCCAAAATTCCCCCGAAAGCAGTCGGGCCAGGGAATTATTGGTGTGCTGCGGGGTTTGCGAGGCCGGCTGGCCGTGCCCAGCGCACGCTGCCTCCTGTGCAGCCGCCAGCTCCCAGGCGAGGTTTGGCTTGGAATAAACTCTGCCACTTTCCCACCGTGCGCCCGCGCTGCTTGGCTTTCAAACGGGATTGAGCCGGGCGGGAGAGCGCTGTGGAAAGGAAGCGTGGCTCTGGCAATTTATTTTTTTTCTTATTTTGTTTATTTTAATTTTTTCCCTCGTTTCTCTGGGGTAATACTGAATTTTTTTTTCTTGCTTTTTAATAAAAATGGGGAAATCCCGGGGTTCGGTAGGGGATGCGCTGCCTGTTCAGGGATATCCCGTGGTGGGGAGGGGGAATGGGGTACTTGGGGGCTGGAGGAAGCGCTGCTGGAGCCCCGATCCGGGGGAGCTGCGGGGCGGGGGGTGACCCAAAGGGAGCTCTGGGCAGCGGAGGGGCTGCGTGGATGAAGGCTCGGGTCTGCTGAAGGCATGAGGCGGGATCGGGTCCTTCTCCAGCGGGATCTCCAAGCTCCCTCTCTCCCCCTCCCGCACTTCCAGCATCTTCAAACAGCGTCCGTCGCACAACCTGAGGGTAACGGGGGGGGGGGAGGGGGCTTTCTTCTTCTTCTTTTTTTTTTTTTTTTTTTCCCCGTTAAGTCTCTTTCAAGCTGGATTTATGTTTGTGTGATGAAATGCCCCTCTGTGTTTAACATTCCCAATGATCATTTGTTTCCTTAGCTCCATTACTCCTTTATGAGAGCGCCTTTCGCCCGGGCATGTTTAATCATAACCGCTTACGCAATATTTTCTTTGGGATAGATTCACTCAGCCTTATTACATATCAATTATTTCCTTACAACTTCGTTCCACACCAGCTGCTTTGTTATCTGGGCCTGCCACCCCTTCACCCCCCCCCCCCCCCCCCCCCCCCCCCCCGGCGTGCGGTGGGAAGGGAGGGAGACGTTTGTTTTTCCTAGGATAAAATACTGCTAATAATAATGCAGATTGAGTGGAAGGAGAAGGGGGAAGCGGGGGGAGAAGCCGGGCCGGGGATGCTCCGCGGGGCTGCGTGTCCCTGTCCCAGGCAGGACCGCTGCGGTCGGGGTCCCCTCCCCGCAGGCCCCTCGGGGCCCCCCCCCCCCCCCCCCCCCCCCGTCTGAGGGACTCCCCGTTTCTCCACGATTTTGCGCCTCATTTTGGAGCTGCTCCGCTGTGTCTGCGCCTCCCAGGCTTCGTGCTGGCTCAGAGCAGAGATTTCTGCTTCACAATCCCCGGGGGAGCTTTCCCCACCCAGCCTCCCGCCGGCTCCTCCGGCAGCCACCCATCTGGAAAGGACATTTCCAATCGATTCGAGCCCTTCCCGCCCGGACTTCAGTTCGAAATCATTTCAGTGCGAGTTTTATCGGAATTTTACATCGTAAACACGCTGCCAGATTTGGCTCCTCTTTCCGAGTCGGTTTTCCTGGGCTGCCCGGGATGGGCTTCGCTCCCTGGGCTGCGCGGGGACTGCCGGGGTGGGCTGGGGGAGCTTTTCTCCTATTCCAGCTGGCAGAGACAGGAGGGAACAGCCCCGACAGCAGGGAACCATCCCTCACAGGCAGGGAGAGCCGGCCCGTGAGATCCCGCCGTGCTCCCTTCTCACCTTCTGCTCTCCACCCTTCGAGTGACAGTTTCGTTTCATTTGGGGAGCGCGGCACAGCGAAGATTTCTTTTTTGCTTTTTTCCTTCTTTTTATTTATTATTTTTTTAATTTATTCTCCCTGATGCCGAAGAACCCGAGATCCTTCGGTTAAATCGTGTATTTATAGGGGAAATATATATATCCATTTATGTGAGCTATAAAGCTGCGCTGGGGAAGGGAGAGTGACCTGCTGCAGTCCTGGGTCCTGCGCGACCGTCACTCGCTGGGACAGGGACTCTGAACCGGGACACCCAGATCTGGAGGGTGTCAGGAGTCCCGGCAAGATACACTTGGGAATTGGGGGGGTTAATGCTGAATTTCCTGGCTCTGGCGAGCTGCTCTCTCCATCATCTTTACGCGCACACACGGATATGTGAACAGATGACTTGGCACCGGCGAAAAACACTTAAAATAATGCCTCTGCCTCTGGCCAGGCCTGTGTAAATATCTCACTCTCCCACATGCCCGCCTGGCTTTTCCTGATGCTGCGTTACTTGATCACAAATACATAATTTGCACGAGTGTGTGTATACACGGAGCCGCTTTGATCTCGGCGCAGAAATGCCCCCCCTCGCCTTCGGAGGGGCTGCAGCCCCGAGAACAAAAGCGGAGAATAAAAATGCTCAAATAACACATTTTCAAATGGGAAGCGTGTGTCGGCTTCCTTGAGTGGTTCTGGCACTTGGAAAGGGGTGGTGGTGGGGGGGGGAAAGAGGCTTTATTGAACATATAAATTTAAACTTAGTTACCGCTAACAGTTGCCTTATAAAAGGGGTCCATATAACCCACATCCATTTTTTTCCCGAAGTCCTCAGGCGCGTTTCCCAGCGCAGCCGATCTCTTGGC